ACCTTTTTTCTGTAGTTTTATTTTCATGCACGCAACACTCCCATACGTCACCAATCTGGCAAAACCAAAAAAAAAAAACAAGACTGTATATCAAAGGCAAGATTGGGCTACATGATAGTTTCTATATTAGGTTCTAGCGCAAAAAAACTTTTGAATGAGACATTACGAAGATGACATACGGAAGCGGTAATTTGCGTGTGACTGTTTGAATTATTTACTTTCGCGTGGATTTCATTTATACGAACAAAACCATGCGTCAGTGCCATTACACTTCAACAACATCGCTGACAACGGCAAATGATAACTAGCCATCTAGGAAGGTAAAATCAATGGCAACACTCAAAACAGTTAAATATAATGGTCATCCTTTGTATGCGACGCCTATATAACGTAACAGATATTTTTAAAGCACACATGTGCCACCCATGGGTGCGCAAATGTTCGCGGGGAAGTGTGTACGCTGCGCAGAAGCCCCAGCGACGAGTGCGCATGCCTCACGTTTCAGCTTTGCGCTTGCTCAGTGTGATCCTTTTTCAGATCAAATGAATTTGAGGTGCTGCACGTTTTTGCTACTTAGTTTGAACATAAACTTCCGATTAGTTAAGTTGCGATCGCCGCTCTACGATTTCCGTTTGTCTCCCGTTTCAGCGTGCCACAGAAGCAGTTGAGTGGTTCAGAAGCGTAATTTTTTTTGTATATGTGCGTCCTACAAAATAAAGTTGAAAATATAGCTCGGTTTTTTGGATCAACTTCAGGAGCGGTCAATGCAATTCTCGGAACCATTCAAAAATCCTTGAAGGGTGCTTGATCTTTACCTTCATGAGTAAGACGCGATAGCGCCATCGGGCTCCATGTGCATCGCCTTGAACCATCCCGGAAAAAAAACGAATGTATGTGGGCGCAACATTGGCCGCTTCTAAGCATGCTTCAATGTTTACGGAAAGATCAGCTGTGAAGTGCCCGTTACGCTATCACTCTTCATTCTAGAGGTTGGTGATGTCACTATTGCGCATCTGTGAGGGGCCACGTGATGCTTCACATGTTTTGTTCCTTGGTGCAATTCTAGCATTCTGCAGCGCAATAAGTCGTACGTTAAGAAAACTAACCCCCCTCCCCTTTCATGGCTTTCTTATAGCATTTTTACATTATTATATCCTTCCTCCATAGTAGAACACCCGCTTTCCAAGCAGAGAGCATAAGTTCAATTCTCACAAGGACCCAAACTTTTTTTTACAGCGAAAGCGGTATACGGCTAACAGAAACAAAAAAACTTTCCGGCAGTGGTGTCATGAGCTGCCTCTATAAGCTGTCCTATCAGTTACATCATTCTTAGCGTCGTACTCAAGCACGCACACTATCGGCTGCTTTGTGAGTGACGTCGTCCATCCCGTCGCAGCCGTGGTGCCAAGCCCGCTCGCATCAGTCTTGAAACCTTCTACATGAATATGCCACGGACAACTCTCGAAGAGCACCGACCGTAGAAACATGAGAGAACTCGCAATCGCCGGGCCGGTGGTTCAGTCCTGGCTCAAAAACAGGCCAGAAAACCCAAGTGCCAGCAGCAAATGCTCAACGATGATCCGGTATTCTTCCAAGCTGCACTAAATTGCGAATTGCAAGCGCCGGTGGTGGGTGTATTCATCAAACCATGCCACCAAGTTAGCTCGCGATGACAAACACTTGCAACAACGCCGCACCGAACAATGAATGCATGGTTCTTGAAGAAGGAAAATAGTCACCTATTATTATTATTATTATTATTATTATTATTATTATTATTATAAGCACGTGGCGCCATCTCTTCGAAGCACGGTGAAGCAGCCCCTTCAACTGCCACGTGAGCAGACGCTCTGCAAATCAAACACGAAACTTCACAACGCTAGTGCGGCTGTAATCATGTTTTGCGCTGTTCTCGTACTGGAATTTTATGCTGCTTTCGTGTGAAAGGTGGAGGAGACCTTTTTCGACATTCCGGAACGTCGGCAGCACATGCATTGCAGACTGCGAGGAACTTCATCTGGTACGTATTATCCGCTGAGATAAACGCGAACAGCGTTAACTGCGGCGTGCCTTGGCTGTGACAAGGCAGAATTTGTGCTGTAAGCCGGCGTCAACGTAGCGCTAGAATCTGGCTCCGACGTATGCTCATGCACCACATGTGCATAAATTGCCAGTCCGGCTGGGCACTCGGGAACACACAAGCGTTGCAAAAGTGCCAGCGAGCACGAGATTTTAAATGCTACGGGGACGCCGGCCGAAAGCAATGTAAATTCGCCTAGTGACAGTCAAGGCATGTCGCAGTTCGAACGATCGCAAAGCCATGATTTCCGCGCCGTTCACATCTCTTTTCATTGTGCACGTTAAAAAAACCCAGGTGGCCGAAATTTCCGGAGCCCTCCACTGCGGCGTCTTTCATAATCATATGGCGGTTTTGGGACGTTAAGCCCCACATATCAATCAATCAATCTCTTTTCACCGCGATAGCAGGCCGTTACAGTTGTACTAAACATGCGCGGCGCGTGCATTTACGCGTGAGTCGTAATACGCATATCTTATTATTGTCATGCGGCCCGCAAAAGAGTACGGTGATAGTTTTGTGCCGCACACTACACGCATACTGCACGCAAACCGCTGCTGTAAAGTGGAACAGCTTGAGTCACGCTTGAATAAACGCAATGAGTATACTTACTCGTACATTTCACTGGGCTCGTAGTTTTTCCTGCTGATTGCGATTATATCCTATATGGTGGTCGAGCTCAATGTTTTTCGTTGTGGACGGAAATCTGTGCAATCGAAAAACACTGCACCAGCACTATTCCCGCTAGGTGCTGTGAACTTCACAGGCAGGGCTAAGCAATCTCTTCCTCTTGGGCTAGTTGTAGTCGCATCAGATGACAGCGAAGTGGTACCCCGATGACATTTCATAAGCGGGTGCAGCGTGAACAGGCGCTTTTTCGAATTTTAAACTCCTAGAGCCACTGAATGTCCTGTTCGCGAGGCGCGCGTTGGCAGTTCCAAACAAATTATGGCGCCTCTGGCAGCGAGGGTTTACCACCAAAGGCGCCTGCGTGCGAGATAGGCGTGCTGTCGTCTATAGGCGACTCGGCGCAGTGCCTACGCCGAAGAAGTGGTGCGGCGGGGTGAACGTAATGATTGCGGGAGCACGATCACAGGAGCGAACGCCCGCTTTCAGCTGTAGTTTCTCCAGCGGCTCTTTGTCCTCGGTTACGACGTCTGTGACCGCCTGTGGTTCGAGAGCAACCACCGGGATTAACGCATTACAAAACACATTCAATTTCTCACAAAAATCCTACATGACCATGATCACCCGAGGCACAATGTGTGTCATGTGAAATAAACACTGTTGTAAACCCAAGGCAAACGTGTGTCTAACCTCATTAAGAAGCACAAACATGTAATAAATAATTGTGAAAGGCTTCAGTGTCACGTCGGGTTGAATCCACTGCTAAGCTCCGCAGCGGCACGTTTGATTTTTCGCGGGTTAACTATTTGTTCGGAGTGCTTGGGCGGTGATTCTTTATGTTTATTTGCAACTACCTCAAATTTTCGCTTGCGGCCAAAACCGATTTCTCGCTCTGGACCAACGAAATGGACGCTAAAACTAAAACTAAAATTAGTGAAAAACGAGCTCTTCAATGGTGTAACGTTAGCACATGTCCATCGATAACGTGGACGAGCACAGGGTTAGATGATCACTATTAGAGATTGCGTGCGAGAGTACAGATGACATTTCGCCTAATAGGTACTTGGAATAAAAGCTTACGCATTGATCGCACCATAGGCATCCATAGCATGCCATGGTGGATTAGTGGTTGTGGTGCTTGACAGCTCACACGAAGGTCATGAGCTCTATCCCGGACACGGCCGTAGGCGTAGAGGCTTGTGTAGTGTGCGATGTCAGTGGATGTCAAAGAACACCAGATGGTCGAAGTTTGCGGAGCCCTTCATTAGGCGATCCCTCATAACCATATCTTTGTTTTGGGGTGCAAAACTTTCGTAATATGATCATTAGTAGATAGGTACCCTTTGAAACAATCAATCGGCTTCTACAACCCTTGGTTGAAAATAGCTACGGGTATTGCGGTTAGTATCAACAAATTTCAGTAGAAATTTAAATAAGTCCGTTGCGTTTTCGCGTGGTGACTCATCGCTGGCCGTATATACTGTTGACACCTTTTGCTGTGGGCAATATAAAATAGGCCACTAAAACTACATTTTAAAGGCCTTAGCAGCTAAATGTAGCTGCCAAGCGCAGAAGTGTTCGTGACACTACATATTCTAGCGTAAAAATGTCTTACTCGCTTTAATACATCACGTTCATATGAGTTCATTACAAACAGTCCTTGAATAAACTTGAATTCGGTGTTCTAGCTCATATTGAACTCGATAGTACATCTTACCGGCATTCGTACGCGGTAACGCATGTGCTTCTTGAGTGTTCCATGCGATATACATAGACGTGGTAATAAGCAGTCACTGACTGTATTTTCTTGCCATATTTAATGTGTAGACACAAACGCAGGCGTGTTCGAGTGTATGTAGTATTATGATGACAGGATAGTCAAGAAGCGGTAACGGGCTCTTTTCATTCTCCCAAGGAGCCAAAGAGCAGCGGGCGTCAAAACAGCCGGCTCACTCGGCGTACTCACTTTTTCTTTAGGGCTGCGTGCAGTCATGAGGTATTCTGGCATAGCTTGAGAATGGTCTAACCTTCACCAGACAGGGTATTCGAAGCCACACTTGTACACTTACGGTACACTCTAGCCATTCATTCTCACGTTTTTTGCGCAACATCTGTGTACAGCACTGCCTGCCTTTCAAACGCAGGCTTACCCATATATTTAAATTGCACCGTTTCTTCAGCACGTGTTCTGTAGCACGTGACATCGTCTACATTGAAAGCCCTGATGTATCGCCCACAAGATAAGATCACGAAGAAGGTGGGTATATATGGATACCAACGTGTGCATGATCAGTGCCTTAGCATTTCAGCTGCTGTAGTGCGGTAACTATAGGCGTCCACCAAAATTTTCAGTCGATTGTCTGGTCGTTTTCATTGAAAGTCGTGGCACAAAGGTATGTTGTTATTTTACGTTTCCTATGTGGTGCATGTGACCTATATTGTGTCCGACGCTCCGTGTGAAGAATGGATGCTTAAGATATGTGCTTCCCTATTTTTTTCCGTGATTTCAATGAAGCCTACAACATCGACCGTTTTTTCATGGATAGCCGAAATGAAAACATCGCCTCGAGCAGCAGTGGCTCTGCTTCACAGACTCTGAAAGGCAGTCGTGTTCCTGGAGGGCAGCAGCACTCTACATCTCATCCTCTAGACACACCCACACCCCCAGAGGACGAACATGGACAAACCACGGCGTTAGCACAGCGTGAACAACCATTGCAGCAGGTGAGTATCACGCACTTATTAAGCGAAGAAGCGGCAGGGAAGTGAAGACATTGATCCAGGTTCTAATCACGTTGATTGTCAAGTTCTGTAGTTTGACGAAATGCCGACTGCATGAAAACGACATTTATGGACTGTTGCAATTGCGTTTAAATAGCAGAGAAATATGTTCCACTATGTAACTACGGTGGACGAAACATTTCCTTCGTCTAAGCGCCATCTCGTATTGTGTATTCAAACAATCGGACTAATTGTACGCATGCACCGATTATTTCATTTGTAGGATACTTGTCTTATTGCAGGTGGAGTCTTTGGCAGACACAAAGTGCAGATCACGTAGCAGTCCATCAATATACTTCCAATCGAATGCCAGCGGTTGCAGCCGTGAGATCGCCATGGTGCACCACCCCTCTACCGCGCCTGCCGTGCCCCAGGACCTTATGCGCGAGCCACTTTCGAACGAATTTGCAGATTGCCACATCGAGTTAGCCTCCCGGCGGATAGGTCTCATAAGGGCGACTCGCAGCCGCGCTGTGGCGGAGGGCCATTTATTTCATCCCGTTGACGCGGCCAGAGCGGCTGCAGCACTACAACTTCAAGATCTGCAGAAAATTGAAACGGAAAGCATTGCAACAGTCTCCGAAAATCCTCGCGGTCATCCCAGAGGACTCAGCACGGGGAGGGAGTCTATTACTGCTGGAAACACTGGCACCGATCGTAGTTCGCGGACTGTTGGAAGACGCACTGACGCAGGTAGTATGAACAGATCTTACTACACAGACGAGGACGACATGCCGATGCAGTACCTTTCCTTCGAATGCGTAGGCCACTACCTCTCTCCGGTGCGTGAATGCTACCGGAGGTACAAACTTGCGGTTATTTGGCTTACTGCCGTCGTTGGGGCCGTGCTTGGCTTCGTTTTACTCGGTTTGCTTATTCAGTACATCCGTCATCGAAATCGAGGGCTGTCCACCGAGTCGAAAGCCGAGACCTCTACGGAGTTTCCAATTGACTACTACAAACATCCTCCGTACAGGATGCCTTCCTATTTGTGCGACGGTGGGTGTTCCTAAGAAGCCTACAGCGCCAATAGTTCATTTTTAAGTCGCCCTTGTTTTTCGACGGCAATAATGTTTTGAGAAGCTGGCTGTGCATGTCTATTTTCTTATGTACAATATTGACACTGGTTTGAATAAACCATCATTGAAACCCATGGCACTCAAAAAGTCAATCTCATCAGCTGGTCATCGCGTTCAGCAGACCCTTTTCTTTCACAGTTAAGTTCTTACGTTATTCGGAATTCGTCAGTTCGTTTCTGCGGTCGTCTGGCAGCTGGAAATATAGACCGAAGCCCATTTAATGCGATCTGTAGGGCAACCTGCCAGCCAAAATTATCCTCTTTCCCGATTTGGGGATTAGTTTCTGCCCATTGTGTGAGCGCTTCAACAGTAAATCTGCTTAATAACGGTTCATAATTACGTACGTAATTACGTTCATAATTCATAATTACGTTCATAATTTAGCACCAGTAGCCCAATAATCGGCTCACTGTGACCAAGTTACACTAATTTGATGTTACGGAATGGAAAGACTCATGGTGCAGCATTGATATCAATAGAGGGAGTGTGCGGGGTCTAGAGAAGATGAGAGTGCCGCGTTGGCATACTTGTAACTTGCATTGTCAGGCTAGTTGGTGCATAGGTACAAAATATTTTGTCGGAAAAGAGAGAGGTGAGCCACTAAAAACGCTAGCTTAGTTGTCTACGTGTGCTGTATCTCTCCTTTGGACTTTGTCAAGCTACTTTGCGCACAGATATTCTTCCTGTCTTCATCACCCTTGAAAAAAAAAAAAAACGCCTGGCCTGCGCGTAGAGCATAGAAGTCGCAGCGAAAGCTTGAAGAAAAGCCTTTCAGAGCCTTTTTAAACACTGATTGGGTAACTACTACAAGTACAATTGCTTGATACCCGTTACATTATTCGTAAAAGTTTTTGGTTGAAGGCCGGGATTCGCTATGGTATTTTTTGTCATTCTTCTTCATTCCTCGTCATTCTTCTGAGAATTCTGGTATCCGCTAAGCCCTTGCAAGAGTTTTTGTGGCAATCGTTAATGAAGTGGATAATGATGATGACGAAATATGCTTGAAGTGCGTATGCGCCACACTTAATAAACAAGCTTTTGTAATGGGTTGGAGCATTGGACCGCTCACTCGTTACACTATTCGCACTGTGCGATGACAGGTTGTTCTTTAGCTGTTTTAAAACGCTTAAGTCGTATTAACGCGATTGCTTTCCCGACATCAAGTTTGCCAAAAAGTTCCGAGCACTGGCATAGCTCAGTGCTAGAATACTGGGCGGGCACCCAGAGGACACGCTTGCGCATGGGCCCCACTGTATCACAGGCACTTGATTTTGTTTTCGAATTTCGGGCGATGAGGTTATGGACACCAGCGGCGGCGGACAACTATCTCGTAATAGCTTTCGCTGTAAAACAGTGTAATGTGCAGAAACACTGGAAGTCGAACCATATACGTCCCGAATTTGAGACGGATGCTCTACAGCTATTCTCAATGATCAACTCTTTCCTATGATCACGACAGTTTTGCATACCGGGACAAAACATGAAGAGACCACACGAGAAAGGAGGACAAGATAAACACAAGGCTGTGCCGTTCATTGTTGCATAAAGCGCGTAGGAGGACCAACGGTGCCGCTTTTATCAGATTTTTTGTCTAGGAGCATTCGCGGCCTATCAAGCATGCAAGAGTTTTCCGCAAGGGGTGTCATTAAGGTGCCTTCGTTTACCTTAACATCCACTTTGCTTCATGGTGTACTCAGTATCATGTGACAGCATATGGCGCAACAATGCAATTTTCTGCCGCTCCGCCCCCCGAATTGCAGATACTGCATGCTTTTACGGCAAACAGTTTACATCTTCCCAGTACTTTTCCGTGAACGCACGAGCATTGACCGCCGTGTGACGGAGCACAGCGGCGAAATGAGCGAGCATGCGGGACATGCGCGTAATCAAATGTCCGGTGCTACTTTCACCTCTCAGGCTATTATGCGAAACGGATGAAGCCCCCCCCCCTCCCCCCTTTTTTTTTCGTCCCGTCGTTGGCTTCCAAGGCCAATGTACTTTTCGCCTCAAGAGAGTGAAGCGTGAACCACAAGAAAAAGCGTAGAAAATGATGAGACGCATGCATTATCAGTGGCTATGAATCAGATTCTGTGTTTAAGCTCGCACACTTGATCTCTGCTTAAAAATATTAAGGCAGCATTCAAGAATGCAAAAAAAAATATATGACGATAATTGGGCTCAAAAGATAATTAGGCGGTGTCCGGGTTCCGAAACTGGATTGCTCATCGTGCACACGCGTGTTTTCTCGTTCATTTCGCTGCTGCAATCTGTAGTGCGGCTCTTGACGACTCGACTGCCGACACTTGAGCGTTCAGGTTAATATATTGGGAGAACGTACAATACCCGCGAATTTAAATAGGACACTTAGAGGGCCTGGTCTCCAGTAAATGAAGCGCTGTTTGTGGGTGCTCTTAAAACCCGGGTGTTGCATTGCAGTGAGGGGGAGGACATCTACAGAGCAAGAGTGGGGCTTCCAGTCGTCAGAGGTAGCACTCTGCCAGCGCGGTGCTGCAAAGCTCGCGCTCTCTCAAGTGCCGACCGAAATGGGACATCGGTGCGCACCAATTATACTGAAGTGCTAGAAGGCGACTCATCTTGTGCGCTTTTGTGATGTGGAACGCATGCTGTGCAAGTAAGACACAGGATTCAGATAAGAGATTGCGCCATGTGTGCGTTCGTAGACTTTACAAATATCTGTACAGCAGCACAGATGGTTCATTTTATCATTTTTTAGGACAAAAAGAAAATAAGCATACATATGCATGTCCTTTGCGCAACATTAAACAAAAATGTCTTTTTATTTTCTCCGTTCACCCCTATAAGCCGATAGTGAGGCCACTCTGTGCGGCAAACTTTAGCTGAGGCTACCAGTGAAGAAATAACGTGGCAGCTTCTGCAATCTTCTTCAATGCGCACCCACAGTTTATATGAGGTGAGCATCGGGTAAGTCAGTTTGGCCCACAGGCTAAAGTGCGCGAACCTTGTACACTAGCAGTGTGCACGTGGTGAACTACAGGCCGACCCGTTGGTGACCAGGAGCTGAGTCGAACTGTTCTGTAAATTGTACTCGCCTCACTCATACCACAATACAACACCATGGTTCCACGAGCACCCACGAACGACGCTATACGTGTACTGGCGGTCACGCACTCTGAGTGTCCTATTTCAACCCGTAACTGCTGAACATAAAAAATGGAGGCAAGCTGGAACGTGTGTCTGCATCGTGTCAACGAAACTCGTGCTGCTAGTGCCTGTGGTGTAATTGTGCTTCAATTTTTGTCACCATCAATAAAGCTGTTTACCACTGAAAAAAGAACTATGACCCACCACCTTCTCCTGCCTAAAATCTGTGTTCAAAATATCACTCTTCCTGCTTTATCGTTGAAATAGCCATAGCCAGACTTTAGGAATTAAGGAGTTGTGTTATCAATTACTGTCATGGCACATTGATCGAAACCGACATGGTTTATCGCACTGAGTAACGTGACTAATCATAAGAGCTATGAACGCGCGTGCGTGAATAACGCGGCCCATTCAGACATCACCCGCTACTACGCACGCACTCGACAAATGAAAGGTGATCGCCATCGACACTGCCATTTCAAGCCACGAGGCACACACGTTTGTTGGACCACGCATTCTGCTGGATGTCCTATCTTTCAAATAGCAACCTCCAAAACCCATCGCCTCGCAAGAGATTGCGAGCCGCTCATATGGTCTACATAGAAGTGGGCAGGACATTGCCCACATGCATTGCCGACATTGGAAAACGAGAAATATATGGCTACGTATGCGTATTAGCCTGATGTACGACCGATAGCGGCACTGAAAATCGCACCTGTATGATGTCGGAGCGGAAATTCGCGCTTTAGAAGCTCTGCGTCGTACGGAAACCACGATCGTGGTGAAACTTCAAAAGAAGCCGTTAAATTGGTTATCTTGTGAAATACCCTACGCTATTGGAATAACCGTGTGTCTCCGCTTTTAAAGTTTATTTTAGAGGCACAGTTATTTGTTTTTTGAAACTGCATGTGGTTGTCTCTGCAGCAATCGCTGCGCATTGGTGAAGTACTGCTATGTGCCTCTGTACTATCGTCTGCCCGCAAAAAGGGCGTTAGCTTTCACAACCATCCTAAGAACCTGAAGCTGAGAAAGCAGTGGCTAGTCAGGCTCAGAGTGGTAAAGCGTCACACACCTTCGTCGACCGTGTGCAGCGAGCACTTCTCTGACGGTGACATGCTAAACCTGCCGCACGCACCACTCTCCGGTAACCTTGTAACCATGTTGGAGCACCTCGCCAGTACTTCAGCCATTTATTGCACGCAGGCTACAAACATAGATGACTTACACCAAGTGCGGTGCCCTCTCGAAACTTACAGAGAAGGTCTTTAGCCAGGTAGTCTATGGCGCGGCCTCCAAATCACCTAGATCTAAGCACGCCTCGTGAGTGTATATAGCTGAGCGGCGCAGGATCTCTGAGATTATGACTTTATTGAATATCTGTACGTCTACGTATATACGTAGTTTACTGATCACGACAAGCATGCGGCTAGCGCACTGCTTAGCATAAATGTTTAGGCGAAACCTGCTGTCCCTGCTTAGGCATCATTCTCTGACGTTTTTCGCCTGACGTAGAGCAGACACTTGGAAAGGGCCCTACAACACTTTTTGAGCATGGTTAGAAAACGCTGCCGATTCATAGTAGAGGCTCTCGACAACACGCGAGCCAAATATTATAGCGTAGCACGCAGCGTAGTATTCACAGTAAGTTATCAAAATCAGTAAAAATTGTTTTCTATTCTATCGACAAATGACAGAAGACACTCAAAAATCATTCATAGAAAGCCCATCTATCAGCCATTGGCTGATCTGAACATGGCGTGCTCGGTCGTTACAGAGATTGTCACGGGAGGCTGCGACTTTTCCACGCGTGCGCGCGCGACCACACTGAATAAACTGCGCGTTCGAAGAAAAAAGTGCTCATGGTCACGAGGTGTGTGCAACGTATTTTCTTTGCCCCTGCCATCCCTTACTGCTTAGCTTCTCGTGCCTTCTTCAGGACGAGCGAAGAAGGAATGC